CGCGGTCCTTGTGCTTTGCTGAGCTTGTTCTAAGTAGGTGCTTTAGACCACTGAGCCATCTCACCAGCCCCCCAAAGTTCAATTTTAAACACAGCATATTTTCCTAAAATGTCAGAAGACAAATTCATTTATTTGGCTAACAAATGAATAAAATTATAATTTTAAATATTCAACATGTTAAAATTGATGTGTCTTCCCCAGGAAATTAAGAACGACGAGTAAGACTTCAACAATGTTAAAGTCTTCCCAAATCTTATGTTGCTAAAGAATATTTAATATTTTACAGTTTTAAATCATTAAATTGTCCTTCATTCTACATGAAACTCAGAAAGAGAACAATTTTTAAAATTATATAGATATATAGATATATTTGTATTTTTATGTAGCCCAGACTGGCCTCCAAATTTCAGTAATCCTCCTGCCTCAGCTTCCTGAGTGCTGGGATTATAGGAGTGTGCCAGCATGCCTGGCAAAAAAAGAACAATGTATGCCATAACTCCAAAAACCTAGTAATGTGAATTAAATTTTACCTGATAGAACAACACAGTATATTTTGACATACATTCTTCACAACAGAAGTCTTCCAACTTTCCTCCCAAATTATTCTGTATCAGTTTGGGAGATGTTTGTAAACAATAGGTGCACATCTTACAATGAGTTCCCCAGCGTTTCCCCAAATCGTGTTTATAAAGCAATTTGCAACCTAAAAACAAGGAAAGATAAATACTTGTGAGAAAAATTATCTGCATTTTTAATGCCAACAGAACAAAGTTTTCTTAGGTCCTGACCAATTAACACATGAAGAAATCAATCCAGAGGATTAAAATTAGTAGTATTAAAAAATATGTATAGCATAAAAAATATTAGTTTTAAACAGACAGGTTGGAAAATATTACAATGTAGCACATAAATTTTGCTTCATGAAACTTCCATCTTTTGTTGGTATGGGAGTATACATCAAATCACAATGTAAAATTAAATTCTTCTTTTGTATTGCAGTTAGAAAGTTTTAAGGTAACTGGTCTAGAAGGATAGACCTGTGCAGTTTTAATAATCCTATGTAGCTTTAAAGTCAAACAAAATAGGCCAGGGAGATGGCTCAGTGGAATAAGCGCTTCCCTGGCAAGCACAAGGGTCGGAGTTCAATCCCCAGTTCTGCCCCCCCCCAAAAAAAACGTCAAACAAAATATTCTACATGTAGCTATCTAAATAAAAAATACAAGGGCTGGCAGCAGATTATAGCACCTGATTGGGCAGACACAGGGGCCAGAGTTCCATCCCCAGTGTACTGTGCTGGCCCTGGCCCTGGGGTGAGCTGGGACAGATTGAGACTAGGCATGGTGGCATACCTCTACAACACCAGCACTTGGGAGACTAAAAACAGGAGAATCGCCATGAGTCCAATCTGTGTAGTGAGACCCAATGACATTGAAAATAATAAACCTATAAACTTAGGATGCTATTAGAACTTAATTACTTCAATACGGAAATAAGTTCAACAACTAAAAGATCTTTAAAGTTCCCACTCAACAATTTCAAAGGTTTTTCTTTTAAAATATTTATCTATTTATTTGATACAGGGTCTACGTATGCAGTTCAGACTCATGGTGATCCTTCTGTCTCAGCCTCCCCAGTGCTGGGAGTACGGGCATGTGCCACCACACTCAGTTTTGGGGCCAGCACAGCGCACCCTAGGTTCTGGGGCTGGCATGCTATGTAGAACCCAGAATCGAACTCTAGTCCTTGGGCTTGCCAGACAGGTGCTTAGACTGCTGAGCTATCTCCCAAGCCGGAAGGGTTTTTTTATATTGCCAACTTCTATGTTACATTTTCAGGATCTTTAACTTCATTTTAATATTTATATACTATAAAAGACTAGTTAAGAATAAAGTGTCAACAAATCAAAAAGGCTTTCAAAATGTATAAAAAGGCTCAAATAAATTTACACAACAATAGCTTAGCTCATCAACCACTGTACTTTGTGAACCAACATGTTTTGTGGGTAAGATTTTCATGTATCTTTACCTTCACTACAGAATGACTTGTCAGCACCTGAGAATCGCACAGTCTCCTTTACAATTTTCTCAATTTTACAATATTCACACATTGCCATTACATTATTTATTTTCTTATATTCATCAGAACAATTCTTGCCACAGAACTGAAACATTTTACCCTGCAAAGAAATAATCATTAAGTACTACTTGGACACAGTTTACCTTATAAAAATACTTGTGTCAATTTCAAAACGAGCAGTATAGTTTTGAAAATGAAAGCAAAATATAATTTTACAGATAGGCTTACTCATACACACTTATCATGAACCTAAACTTTACCTTATAGTCAAGAAGTTCTGGTTTTGTGGCAAAAAGACGGTTACAGTGTTGACACCTGAGTTTCACAACATTTCGTGTAAACCCAATATGCTGAGATTGGGCAGCAAGCCGCTGAAGACCTGCAGCAGCAGAACTACTGATGGAAGTGGGAGAAACGGCAGAGGCGCTACCTCCTCCTGCTGACACTGCTGAACCTGTGGGGATGCTGACAATTACTTGGCCTTGAGATAAGGGCACTACTGAAGAATTCATTCCAGTTGGTTTGTTGAACAAGTTCTGAAAGAAACAACAAAGATCAATGTAAGGGTCTATTCAAACAAATGAGATTTATGTGCATACATAATTCTAGATATGTAAGACAGTGGTGAACAGGTTAAAACATCCCCTATCTTTGAGCAGCTTATAATAACTGAATGAAGGGATTTCATTTATATCAGAGAGAGAAAGAGAGAGAGAAAAAAAGGTTTAACAAGCAATCATCCAAAGATAATTGGGGGCCAGCCAGATAGCTTAGCGGATTAAAGCGTCTGCTTATGCAGACGCAGGAACCGGGGTTCAATCCCCAGAATGTGGTGCCAGCCCTGCCCCCAGGGCGCACTGAGACTCGAATGGTGGCACATGCACCTGTAATCCCAGCATTCAGAAGGCTCAAAACAGAAGTATCACTATGAGTCTGATTGTGTAGTGAGACCCCGCACTAAATACAAAAAAAAAAAAAAAAAAAGATAATTTGGGTGGTAACAGTTTAATTTAGTTTTTATAGAAAGCAGTTAAAATAGTTTGTCACCAAATTTAACATGAACTAAGAATCTAAGTTTACAGGACTGGGACAGAAATTTAGCAATCCAGACACTACCAAACACTTAGTAAGTTTATATAACTACAGTAAGTGACTCACTGACTGAAGAAGAGGAAGATTCCTGAAGCCATACCTGGAAAGCTACCACACAACTGTAGCTGCAGAAGTTGCGTATACTTCCATCTGACATGGCTAGGTGATACTGAGGGATTGCTGAGGTTTTACAACTGTTACACTGAACTTGTACACCTTAGCAAATCAAAATAAAAACTAATGAGTAATTTATACACATCTATGAGAAATTAAATAAGTGATACAGAATACACAAAAAACTAAAGGGCCAAGTTAAATTGCAGGAACTGGAATTAAAGTCAATCATGTTTTATAAGACAAAATTAACATTTAAAACTTTTCTTTTTAACATCTACCCTAAAACTAAAAACAAACAAAAAACTTAAATCAAGTATGGATAAAGCAAATATATTAAAAGAAGCTACATGAGATTCTTTTGGTAAATAGCTCAGTGAATTACAGTGCCTGCAAGCAGGCACAGGGGTTGGGGGTTTGATCCCCGGGCCTGTTATGCCAGCCCCACCCTAGGGGCACGCTGAGACTGGGAGTGGTGGCGCACGTCCAGTAATTCCAGCTCTTGGGAGGCTGTAAACAGGCAGATCACTATGAGTCCATCTAGTAGTGAGACCCTGAACACCCTGTAGAACCTTCCCTAAAATTAAAAAAAAAAAATCTTGTGGTAAGAGGGGAATATATAAATAGGCAAGCAAATAAATAAAGATGGGTCACATGGTACCAAAAATAATAATAATCATCTCAAATTTGCCTTAAAAATCAACTAAATTTACACAAAAATCTGTATAAAAAACAAAAGTAAATTTTTTTAAACCATTACATTTTATACTTTATGAAATAAGTTTTACCTGCAGAAGTAACCATTTTAACTCGGTAAGCAGATAAGCAATTAACAGAACAAAAAAGTTCTGTCTTCCCCAAGCTACTGTTATTTTCAATCATTTCTGCTGAGGATCTCAATGATTTACAAAGTGCACATGGTGTAATCTTGGCTGATTTCTATTAAGAGAATAAAACAACATTATTTTAACCAGATTCTTAACAAAACCATACTTCTCTGAAATGTTTGTATGTAACACTATTAAAATATTTTACATCTGGCTGGGGAGATAGCTCAGTGGCACAAGCACCTGCCTTGCAAGCGCAAGGTCCTGAGTTTGATCCCAGGTACCGGAAGAAAAAAAAAAACAAAAAACCACACCTAACAAAACAAAACATTTTGTTTTATTTTTGTTTTTGAGAAACAGTTTTGCTATGTGTTCTAGGCTGGCCTGGAACTCACTATGTAGCCCAGGCTGACCTTGAATTCACAGGGATCTTCCTGCCTCAGCCTCCTGAGTGCTGGGATTATAGGCATGTGCTACAATGTATTGGATTTATAAAATATTCCGAAATTCAGACATAGGCTCATTTTACTATGCATGTATTTTATTATCAAATGTCACAGATTTGTTCTGAGAAAAGATACTTTAGAATCAATGGTTGCTCAATATATATGTTATGCTAAATACATGCAAATACTATTTAATATTATTTAATGTCAAATCCCAGATTGAGTGCTTAAGATGGCAGGCCTGGTTGTTTATATTTGAACACTTCGTATGTATGATATCTGCTTCCATTTTATTGCTCACAATATATTTTGTTATAAGTGGTAGACTATTTGGAAATAAATTTACAATAATTTCCTTAAATGTATACTCTATTGCTATGTGCAGCACTTTTGGGGGGAATTTTTTCACATTAGGATAGCTTAGCCTAAGACTATGAACACATTATGTTAATGGTAAAGTACTCTTTACAAAAATGGTGGTTACTACCAATTACAAGATACTGAAATTGTTAGGTTATAACCATTATTTTCTAATGAAGTATAATACAATGAAAAAGATTGATTGGCATAGTCAGACCACTAATAATCAGAAAGATAATGGCTGTTTGAGGACTTCTATATAGAAATAAGCAGAATTATTCATAAACAAGAAGAATTACTGAAAGATACATGAGTTCCCCAATAATCCTTCACATATTATGATATATATATATATTACTGTACAAAATTTTTCAGTTTTATAAACATATACATAATGCACAAATGCAAAAACTTAGTATATTTGTACTGGTGTATATTATAAAACTTTTTTATGTATTTAGTACAGGGTCTACAAGGTCTTACCACACAGATTGGACTAGTAGTGATCCTCCCGCTTTCAGCCTCCGAAGAACTGGGATTACAGGTGCACACCACCACACCCAGTCTCATTCGCCCTCTCAGTGCGCCTAAAGAGAGCGCTGGCGCTGCACACCAGGGAGCGAACCCTGGCTACTGTGCTCTGACCAAGCAAGCACTTTAGTCCACTGAGCTATCCGGCCAGACCCACCCCCCTTGCTTTTTTTTTGAGATATGGTTTCACTATGTAGTTCAGGCTGCCCTGTTCTCACTGTGTAATGCAGGCTGGCCTTGAACTCCTGGTGATCCTCCTACCTCATTTCCCTTTTCTCTCAATCAGGACTATCATCACAAACTTTATTTACTGAAAGACAAGCATGGAAGTGCACTTCTCTAATCTGAGCACTCACAAGGCTAAGGCACGAGGATCCTGACAAGTACAAGGCCAGCCTGAACTACATGAGTTCAAAGTTAGTATGAATTATATAGTGAAACCATATCTCAAAAAGCCAAATGGAAAAACAAAACAAAACAAAAAATAAGGTGAAGAGTTAACTTCTCTGAAAAATTTATTGACAAATCTATCAAGTTTTGATGAGTATGATTTTTCTGTGGCTCACTGCAGTATACCACATTTCCATGATATCATCTCTTATTTACTCATTTATATAACAGGAGACACACAGGTTCTCAGAATAGGAATTGTATCCAACACTAATTGCATGAATTATATAAAAGAAAGAAATCACCATTAATATGCCAGGCTCAATATTCAGTGCTCTCATTCTTATTTTATATAATCCTAAAAATATCTTAATAAAGCACCTGCTTAGGCAGAGTGCAGTGGCCAGGGTCTGATCCCTGGCGTGCCTTGCCGGCCCTGCCCCTGGGGCACACTGAGACTGGGACTGAGACTGGGGATGGTGGCGCACCCCTATGATCCCAGCACTTGGGAGGCTGAAACCAGGAGGATCACTACAAATCCAATCTACATAGTGAGACCAAAAAGTCTTAGTGACATAGGTAGTACTATAGTCACTGAGAGATAAGAAAATTGGGGTTTGGAATATGTAGTTCAGTGATGAAGCACTTGGTTAGAACTCCTGAGACCCTCGGTTCAATCTCTAGCTCCACAAGTAGAGGTAAAGAGGTTAAAAAACTGAAATACTGGGACTGAAGGAGTTACATTATTTTCCCCAAGGTAAAACTGTGAACCCAAACTATGTGAATTAAATTTGTAACTGCTACAAAAATTCAAGTCTGCCAGGCATGGTGGTACACAACTGTAATCCCAGCACTCAGGAGGCTGGGGTAGAAGGATTATTGAGAGTTCAAGATCAGCATGGGCTACACAAAGTAAGCTGAAGGCTAGCCTAAACTGCATAGTGAGACACTGTCTCAAAAAAACAAACAAATCACCCCAATTCTTCTGCTACCACAGTAGATACTAATAATACATGAGCTCAACAGACACTGGCTAGAGCAATGCATGAGCTTATAATTACAATATTTCATCCTATTTCTTTCTTTGGTGGAAGGTGAATGATATTCCAAGACAATGAATGAGTCTAGGAAACTTTTAGTACTGACACAGTATAAGGGAAAAAAAAGTTCCACTCTCACCCTACTGGGCACTGAATCCAGAACTCTTGCAGGCTAGACAAATGGTCTATCATCCCATTCCCAGAATAGTCTTAAAGAAAGGTAACATATTATGAAGATACTTGGATTTTTTCCCCTTATGAGAGCAAAAATAAGACAAAAATAACAAAGGTACCATTTTTAACATTTTCATAATTTCCATTAAAAGTTTGTGTCTCTAGAAGACAAGGGAGTACAGATCTATTAACCCAGCAACTCAGGAGGCTGAAGCAGGATCCAAGTCTGAGCCCAGGCTGGGCATCTTAGCTAGATACTGTCGCAAAATAAAATTAAAAAGGGCTGATGATATAGTTCAGTGGTACAGCACTTGCCTCGCATGTGTGAAGCCCTGGTTTTATTCCCTAGCATTGGGGAAAAAAAATCTGTGGTGAAAAGCACAAAGACATCAAGATTAAATATAGGGAAATACCTGTTTGTATGCTGTAATACATGTTGAACTACAAAACTTTTTAGACTGTCCCTCTATCTGAAGCATGTGGCATTGTCCAGAGCCACTGTAACAGTAACCCCCACAGTTCTCACAACAGTTCATAGTGAGGTTGTTAGCAGAACGAAACTTGGAGAAGCAGGCATCACTACAAAGTTTATGTACCACATTCTGGTAATTAACTTCATGTCGAATCTAGGAATGAGAAAACAGTACAAAATCAACAAGTAGAGACTATCAGGGGTGGGGATTTGGCTTAGGGGTAGAATGCCTGCCTAGCAAGCTGGAAGCCCTGGGTTCTATCCTTGGCACCAAAAACAAAAAATAAAAAAACTTCCCCTAAAAAATACAGTAAATCAAGAGACCAAAAACAAATAAGGATACTAAACAAGCAGAGACTATCAAAAACTGCTCTTTAAGCACAAGCCTTGGGTTCATTCCCCTCAATAAAGTAAAGTAAAAAGGTAACTTACAACAGCATTCTTCTGACACATGCTGCATTTAGTTGAAATGCTATTTGTATTTATGGTAACAATAGGTTTTTTTTTCAGTTCGTATGTTGACAAACATGATTGACTGCAAAAATCTTTACTGGTGGTAGTATTTTCAAACTGGGCACTTATTACATCCTTTGGATTCAAAATATCCCTAAAAATGATAACAAAGATAAAATAAGCTACAATATAATGTATGATTTTCCTTTTTGTATGTTAAATGACCCAAATAAAAAAGACAATTATAGTGAAGGAAAAGAGCCCTAGAGATCCTGGATTTTCTTGAAAAAGCTTATAAAGTGTATTAATCCTTACATCACTTTCTATAAAGTGGAATATACCATCTACTTGATAGAACAAATGTGACAACGAGCATTATGTTTCAAAAATTGAAAATGGTTACACTGAGTGGCTGACATTTATTATTTCTACAGATGGGATTACAGATTTCAATTTTTTTTCTTCAAAACTGTCTTATGTTTCTTAGGGGTACTACTCAATGGTAAGAATACTTGCCTACAGTTACATTTCCAAACTACTCTTTAAAAAGTTGTACATTTGAAGTTCTTTAAAACACTGTTGTCTTTTCAAAGCAAATACACATTTTAAGCTATATAATATATACTCTACCATAGCTTTTTAAAATCTAGGATTTCCACATCTATAGATTTGTTTTCAAGCATTAATATCAAAGGCAATGATGACTAAAATCCTAAGGATCAAAGCTCTTTAATAAATCAACCCTAATTCCACCAGGACATCAGTTTTCCTTTAGAATTTTACCAGATAATGTAAGAGTAAACCATAAATTAAAAAAAAAAAATCCAATCTTCAGATACATAAAATTTAGTAAACAGTCTCTTCCTTCCAGAAGAATACACCCATAAAATAGTTTAAAAACTCAGTCACACTGAATCTTGCACCTTAAACTGATCACACTAACACTTTTTTTTTTTTTTTTTTTTTTGCGGAACTGGGGATTGAACTCAGGCCCTTGAGCTTGCCAGGCAAGAGCTTATTCTACTGAGCCATCTCTCCAGCCCCACACTAACACTTTTTAAAAACTATTATGTTTCACTAAATGATAATGGTAAAGATAAAGAAAAATCACTGTAAGAAATACCTGATATTATGCTATTACTTAATTCATATATAACTCCATTTCTTGTTGTGTCCCATACTTACCACCTGTATACTGTTTTACTTTCTGTATTTTAAATTTTTTCCTTTAAGGCATTTTAAAAAGTTAGATCTAATGTATTTCAGTAGAATATTTACTAAAAAGTTTATCTTTCATTTATTTTTTGAAACAAGTTCTTGCTGTACTCCAAGTTGGCTTCAAACATGCTTTGCAGTCTAGGCTGGCCTTGAACTCTCAATCCTCCTGCCTCAGCCTCCTGGAGTGCTGGAATGAGAGGTGTGTGCCTCTGGCTACTGAAAAGTTATGCTGAGACAGACAATGGAGACACTCAAGATATGGTTCACACATGTTTACAAATCTCAGTTTTGGGGACAAATAGACAATTTACAAAATACTGTTAAAGAAATAGTCTTTAAATTTATAGTAGAATGACTAAAAGAGCTAAATATAAGGTATTACAGAAATATAAATGAAGAAATAATCCAGATCAGACTATATACAACATGAAAGTTTTCCTAAAAGTCAGTGACATCTTAGTTAGATCCTATGCAGCAGTCTTCTAGGTTAAGTAGATGAACGATTATATAGAAGTAGATGTTATACAGGATATAAAGGAACAATCTCATTCTATAACTAGTGAAAATTCAGAAATGGCACAATACAGAAATAGTCGCTACACTAAATCTTATTATATGAAGAATCTAACAATAAAATTATTATCCAAACTACCTCTTTTATGTAGGATTTGAAATATTTTACTTTTATTTGTACAGCATCTCACTACACAGCTTGGACTCATAGTGATCTTTTTGTTTTCAGCCTCCCCAGTGCTGGGATTACAGGCTTGTGCTGCTGTGCCCAGACTCCTTTACTGGCTCAGTGTGCTCCAGGGGCGGGGCTGGCATGGAATGCAGGATCAGGGATCAAACCCTGGTCCTTGTGCTCACCAAAGCAGGTGCTTAGTCTGCTGAGCAATCTCACTGGCCCTGAAGTATTTTTATTTTAAAGTAAATGGCTAGGTTATCCTTATTAGATCCAAATTAGATGCAATAGTGCACACCTGTTATTTCAGTACTTTATAAGACTGAGGCAGGAGGATCACAAATTGAAAGGAACACCTGGCAATTTAAGGAAGACTTAGTTTCGGGATCGGGGGAAGCCTAGGAACATAGGGAAGAAAAGGTGAGGAAAGGATAAATGAAATAAATCTAAAAATTAAATGGTTAACCAAAGTACTCAAAGGTTAATTTCAAGAGACTAAGAGATATAGCTAACAAAAATGAAAAATAAACTTGGTACTCAAGAACAGCTAAGGAGATTTTAACCAAAGTGCTGTTGCCACATTTCCACTGGTGTATAAAAATAACAGTAGCATTGGGGAGGGGGGATATGTATGAACTTTTGGCATATTCAAATTAAATTAAAATTCTTCTCATTGGGACCAACTTACAAATTTAAACCTGTCTGACCACAGAGACTATGTAGGGAAACATGCCTGTGCCAAAATTAAATCATGGTACTAATTGAACATTTCAGCTTCTTTGAGTTTATATTTAAGGTGCATCTAATTCAGTAATTTCATAATTACATAAATCACACTGTACCAAATTGTTATGAAGACTGTAAGTAACAGGGGAGGGGGAGAAAGGGAAGGAAAAGTGAAAATAGAAAATGAAAGAGCCGTTCAAGATATACATTAAAAAAAGGATCAGCATTTGAGGACTAAAGCAAGGAGAAAGATAAAATGTGAAATGAGATAGAAAGAAAATAATGAAGGCAGTACCCAAAAGAACGGGGTGGGGGGGGGAGGAAAAAGAGTGAGAAGAAACGATAAAAGAATAAGGGAATGAAGAGGCAGAATTACAAATCAGTAACAGGATTTAAAAATTGAAAAGTTTTGGTAATTAATAAAACCATTACATAATATGATAGGTGAAACAAGCTTTTATTAAGGAGAAATGGGTTGAACACAGAGTCTTCACAGTGAGCTACACTCCCAGCTTACTGAGGCTGGGTACGAACTTGTAATCCTCTTGCTTCAGCCTCCCAGGGTACTGGAATCACAGGCATGCACGATCATGCCTGGCTGAAACAGTCTGCAAGAATCAATGGACCTTACTAAGATCAAGATACAGAAAAGATGACATGCAAGAAAATAATACCTGTCATGGCAAGCTATGGAAAATATCACAGGCCAACACAACATGATAAATTTAGCTGAAAATAACTTATACGTGTGAGAATAAAAAGCACCAACTGGGTGTGGTGACACAAGCCTATAATCCCAGCACTCAGGAGGCTAAAGAAGGATTGTGATTCAGGTGACACATGAGTTCAAGACTGGACCTGCACATCATTTCAAGGCCCTGTCTGGGGAAGGGAAAAAAAGTGTGTGTGTGTGTGTGTGTGTGTGTGTGTGTGTGTGTGTGTGT